TTTCCTTTAGCTAACCAATGAGTGTTTGCGTTGTATGACTCATCCACTTCCACTAGTTTTCACTAGATGTGGATGGAGCCAATGATCTGCATTGGATGGCGAACATGACCTGAAATAAATATTTATAAACATTAAACCAGGGGTAACCAATTAAAAATCAGCGGGGTCCGAATAAAGAAAGTCATCAACCAGTAAAAGTCTGGAGACATTTTTAATTATCTGTTACTTTAAACAGAATTTAACACTGAAATAAAGGCTTCAAACCTGGGTTTGAATGGGGACAAAGCCATTCTCAATTACATATCAAGGTGCTAATTTTTAACTTGGATCCATATTTATTTTTGATAATATTCATGGTGGAGAATCCTGCTTCACAGCAGCAAGTTGAGCTAAACATATCTCTACATGTTCAGGCTCCACTCCGGTCCGGCCAGGTCAAGATCCGCTATTGCAATCGCACCAAACAGGAAAAAATACGGCGAGAAAATTCACTTTGTCAAATTAAGATATAGAAAAAAAACAGATCAGTAACAACTACAAATTAGAGCATAATTCTTATATATTTAAAAATCTAACACTGTTTATTTAAAAATTGGATGTAAACTATTGGTACTTCAACAGACCAGGAAGCAGATTTGTCATCTCCATCAGCATCCAGCATTTGTGCGGATGCTGATGGAGATTTTTTTAATATGTCATATTAAATTAAGCGTTAATTTCTGCATGTTTTGCTCCTACGAATTTAATGATAATATCGCGCATGCTCTCCTCGAGCTCCGAGGATATGTCGGGGCGCAGCAATACGGGAGGAACAGCGGAGGCTGTAGGCTTTGCTTTGTGCAGGAGGTCTGGAGCGCTGCGGGGCGAAGCGGGGATGGAAGATGTGGGATTTCAGGGTAACAGGAGAAGCGGCGCAATTGATGTTTAGACACTGTTTTAAGACAACATGCGGTAATTTATAAATGTTTTAAATCAGGTTGAGTCCCGATTAGCCAGCAGGTGGGTTCAGATCCGGACCACGGTCCGCTAATCCGTGACCTCTGCATTAAACCAAAGCCAAGAGTAACAAGTAACGTTTGTTGGAGATAATAACTGAGGATTTCAGGACTTTCAGTTTTCTTGGAGTTTACTCCAGATTAGTGGAGCATAAAAACTAAAAGCTGCCTCTCCATATTTGGTTCTGAAAATGCAAAGGAGACTTGAGCCAGAAGACCTGAGAGCTCTGAGTGGTTATAACACTGACAACAAGCCTGTGATAGACTTGCTGTCTACAAATCATTCAGTGATGCGGGAGCCGTGTCTTTAAGTAACTTTTTCTTTAATACAACCTTTCCAATAGAACTAAATATACAGTATTGACATCTAGAGGCTCCTATTGCCCCCTTCTGCCCCAGTCAGGCTGCTGAAATTCTCTCTATCTGAACAGATAAAGTAGGTCTTAGTAAACATTTTAGGAGAACCCCACCTTAAAATGGTCCAGCAGGTCCTTGCCTACAGCATAAGGAGCACCGATCACCACCTCAGACACATACTATACACAAAAAAAAACAAACGTCTTAAATTACAAAGCAAAGCTCAAACCAGATAATTCCTCAAATGTTAGAAAAAAAAACATTTTACTTTGTTGAAAAGCATTTATTAGAACTGATAGTAGAGCTACAGCACTTCATGGTGTTATAGTGGAACTGTGCAATGTTCATACAACTGATACTAAAACACAGTGCAGACTGCAAACAAAGACTAATTGTTCTTGGCTGACAAGCAGGAATGAAGGGAAGAGAGCCCAGTTCATGCTCAGTACTGGGAACATGACGGGCAGATATGTCACCAGCGCTAAGGAGTCAGTGAGTTTGAGTGGGAGCTCACCCGGCAGGCAAGGACGCTCAGGGTTCTCTCATGGATGTTCATGATGGGGTAGTTTTTTCCCTTGTAGCGATTCACTTCCTGAAGAAGATGAAGTAGAACTTGAAGGGTTACATATTAATATCAACCTGCAGCTGGGAATACCAGCAGAGCTAACAGGAAGTGTAAAAGTAAAACTGTGTCACAATCCTGGACGGCCTATATCTCCAAACCCAAACATAATCTGGAGCTACTCTTGCTGTAACTTGTCCCTGATCTGCCAAAAGAAGTGATAAGGGATGGAGGAGGGATTGAGTGTACCTGATCAAAGTGCAGACCAACAATAACATAAGCCCTCTCTGCCTGCTTATAAACCATCTCCAGAAAGTCAACGTGGCCGATGTCTGCAGGAGGTCTGAGGTCAAGGGAGCAACCAGAAGGGAACTTGTAAAGCAGTCCTATACGTGCAGAATAAGCAGGTGGAAACCAACGGATGGAAGCAAATGATCAACATGTTACTGGAAGAAGAAATATCTAACTTTCCACCAGTATAGATGGATGATTTAGAGGTCAAATTTGGAATGAAACTGGAACACAATATGTAGAACAATCGAGTTTTTGTAAAACGCAAAGCAGAAAAAGTTCATCATTAAAAGGTATTATTTCCTAAATCTTCCAATAATAATGTGTTTAAATTGGAAATATTATTTTTTATCAAACTGTGCTAAATTATAAAATACATTAAATCACAATCACTTATAAAGCCTGAAATGAGTTACAACAAGTTTTTAGTTTGTTTCTTCCATCTATTAGTCATAAAATTGAACAAAAAAACCTTTCTGGAAGAGAGAAACAGCTCTACTATCTGTTAGATCTCTTAAGGTATTGCAGCAGGTGACTTTTTTCATCTGTTCAAAAACATTTTTTAGTTACCACCAGCTTTTACCAGATGGTACGCTCTCTAACTCAATGTAATGATTGTGTAGATCTGGTTTGTTAAGTTGTGATTTGGATCCAGTTAACATAAATATACACAAACCATCCCCCATCCGCATGCATATAATGCCTCATTTAAATGTGGGCGAGCAACATGGGGGGAGAACTGTGAGCTCTGAAGGCCTCTTCCAGGAGCGGCTGTGCATCTGCTGCCTTCTAACAGAGTTTAAAGTAAAAGTTTATGAATACCTTTATTAACTGGCTTATTTTTTAATGATAAAGGATACGGAAAAGATCAAAGGCTCCAGCCACATAAATGATGGTGTCTCCAGGCTGAGGCTCTTTAGCTGAAGCAAACTGGATGATCTTCTGGGATGTTTGCAGGAACTGAGACACCCCTGTCCATGGGCTGTGGGCTGTAGCACCCTGAAGGCAGCAGGATATGCAGAAGTTAACAATAATGAAAGACTAATTCTATACAGATAATCACACATAATTATATTGAGAGAAATCATTTTTTTTCACCTTTCCAAAGTTGTCGGTGTGCTGCTGGTAATCTGTGTTATCCTGCAGGAAGATGAATACTGAATTAAAACCAGGATATAGAAACAGTGGTTTGCCTGCTAAACTCAGAAATGTAAGCTTACCATGTTGCTGTGGTGGGCTTTGGTCATTAGAAGCATCCGCCCCACCAGGTCGGTGGTGGAGACCCCCTGGGTGCGCTTACACTCTCTGTATCGCCCAGCCTGCTTCACCTCCGCATACGTGTCCTTACCGTCCACTGTTAGCGTGATGTCATCTGGAAAACATAAACATTTAAAGCATCGTCCATACAATAACCTGAAGTCCTTTCCAAAGGCATTTTACATCTATGAACTTCTTCCATTTTTATGACACAACCACAAACTTTAACATTCTTCCATTAGATCTAATCTGATAAAATATACTCGAAACTGTAAGAAAAAAAAGTTGTTGAGGTGCGGGATCCTACCTATTTTGTGCTGCTCTCTCACATTAACTAATACAATGCAGTAAAGTTTGTGGTTGAAACGTGACAAAATGTGTAAAGCTTCAGTATTAACAAAGAAGCTAAAATCTACAAAAAGGCGTTAATAAAAACTCCTTAAGCTGCCTCACCTCCATGCACACAGAAGTCACAGTTGTATTTATCCAGCGTTTCCAGCGTTGTGACATAAGGGGCCCCCTCCACTATCTCGTCCACCCACTTGATTGCACGCACCATCTTGTAGCGCTCTTCCTGAGTAAAAACCGGAGGGCCCTTGTGTTTGGAAATCTCCGCTTTAAAAACAAACATTTTGAGTCAGCTGTTTGTTACTGATATTTCAGCATCTTATGATCTAAACAGCATTTACAGGAAATTGAATTATAGGTATCGGATTTATCAATGGAAACACATTAGAAGATTGTCTCAAACTGTCCTGTCTTACCGTCCGTGTGCACCCCGACAATAAGGTAATCGCCCATAGACTTAGCCTGCCGCAGCTGGTTAGAGTGACCGTAGTGCACCATGTCGTAGCTATAGAAACAAGACATCATGAGTATGAAAAAAAGCTTAAAGAGGGCAGCTCTCAGGTCAAAAGATCAAAACTAACTAGCAGCCAGTGGGAGGCTGAGACAACAGCACCCCTGCTGTCATGTTTTCTTCTCTTTAGGCGACTATTATCTTTAAAATGTCCTCCAAACAAAGCTATTCAGCATCAGCCTAACAAGATAGAACATTCCCAAATGGATCTCCCGTTGTGTGCGGCTTTACTTCATTATCTTGTTTGTGATTTTTTATTTTTTTTTTACAAACCAAACTGGTGCTGATAAGTGATAAAGGTTACTGGGACTGAGGTAATGGCTGTGAACATCCTGTCTGCTATCAATGTGGCAGTGTTTATTTGATTCTGGTCACTCAGTAACTAAGGCGATTCAAGCTTCGCCGCACTGAACAGGAGACCTGATACGTTGGTGGCCAAATAAAAAAGGTAAATATGATCAGTAAGATTTTTTAGGCCATTATAAAAGGATGTCAGTTTAACAGGGTAGATGTGATTTAAACTGAAATACTAAAAGCATCACAGCTTTGAAGGAAAACAAATAAGCATCTTTTTAACTAAAGCTCTCTGTTAGTGCATGAAGGCCAGAGCTTGCTGGACTAATTACAATTTATCTTGGTTGCACAATCGACAATTAGGAAATAGACTTGGTGCTGTTCTCCTGCCCATCTTCACCATTTTTTATCGTTGAAGTTTAAGTCTTTCTGTTACTGAACCTTTCTGCCATATCTTTGCATATCCTGCAAATATTGACTTAAAACCTCAATGAGGGTTCTTTGAGCCTGATTTCAATCTTTTAAAGAAAAATTTGTTTTTAGAGGCGGATGCTCACTCCTTTTTTTTTTTTTTTTTTATGTGCCGACAGGGGGTTATGATTAAGGGTCATAATTAGGGCTGAAACAATTAATGGTGATTAGTCGATTATTGAAATAATTGTCAACTAATTAAATTATTGATAAGATAGTTGAATGGAGTTTAGAAACCATAAAACATGCCTCCAACTGATAGAGCAACCCAATTAGAGCAGTAAATATCTCAAAATTGTAAAAAAAAAAATATCTAGAAATTTAGGGAATTGTTTTAGAAAATTATAGCCTGATTTGTTGGTCAGTGCTGCAACATAGAAATGCAAAACAGAATATAAAGAAAACACTACAGTCTTTGCTCAGCACATCAGACAGTAATGATACCTTTCTAAAACAAAGTCAGTTTCTGCCCTGCAGCTGAGAAATTATGCAGAAATGAACAGGGCAGTAACACTTGTCTGAAAGTTTCTCTCCAAACAGCTTCTACCTGATTAGGTTTTTATAAATACAAAGATGCAATGAGCTTAGATGTGCACCTTTCCACCTCTATACCATTAAAATAGGGCATGATTTGCAGCTGCTGAATACAGGACTAAAAATCAGATGATAACTGATCAGAGAGATCTGATGGATATGCTGTTATTTGCAGCCAGTTTATCTGGGAAACAGATCATTTATGCTTTGGAACGATGACAGTGAGATTATAACATGAAAGCATTTAAAGATTTTATCTTTAAATTATTTTAGGTGGAAAGTGAAAGAATTTGAAGCAGCTTCAATGATCTGAGTTCGGTAAAGTTGGAAAGATATTCACAGATTCGGTCTTCCGTCATCAATAATTCTCACAAGAAACGTTGTTGAAACACAAATGCCGCTTCTTTCATGTCCTGATAGCACAGACTACGTACTACAAGAATCAAAAAGCGTTATTTTCGAGAAAAACAAGCCGTTCTCTGAGCTGGATGTATTACATTGATCTCTATGCACAGGCTGTGGCCAGGCGAGTGGTTAGGGACCGTCTGCAAATGGTAAAACAACAGCAAAACATTGCAAATAAAAATCAATAACTCCACTGCCATAAAGTGCAGAGACTCCAAAATCACCACACACACCAAGGGGCTCTTGGTGATCACACTACAACAGCTGGTTTGGAAAAATACACCTTTACTTTTTTTTTTTTAGAATTTTTTTGTTATCATTAACCATTAATATCATCCTATTTTAATCAATAGCTCTAACAATGTACAGTGCAGACAATCCAAAATCACCACGCAGACCAAGTGACTCCTGATGATAATACTAGAACAGCTGTTTTTGAAAAAGACACCTTTACTTATTTTTTAGAATTTTTTATTGTTATTAAGCATTAATATCATCCTATTTTGATCAATAGCTATGTGGTTATACAGTGCAGACTCTCCAAAATCACCACACACATCAAGGGGCTCTTGGTGATCATACTACAACAGCTGGTTTGGAAAAATACATCTTAACTTTTTTTTTGTTGTTGATATTATTAAGCATTAATGTCATCTTATTTTGATCAATAGCTCTAAGGCTGTACAGTGCAGACACTCCAAAATCGCCACAAAAACAAAGGGGCTCCTGTTGATCATACTACAACAGCTGTTTTGGAAAAAGAAACCTTTACTTATTCTTTAGAATTGTTTATTGTTATTAAGCATTAATACCATCATATTTTGATCAATAGCTCTATGATCATACAGTGCAGACAGACAGATGATAATACTACACGATCTGTAATTGTTTTACTTGAGATTTTTTGTTTATTTTTTATGTACCTGTCATTTATTTTATTGTATCTGTATTTAATGTATCTTTGCTGCCTCTTGGCCAGGACTCCTGGAAAAAGAGGTTTTTCCCTGGTTAAATAAAAATAAATAACTAATCTCGGTGACCAGAATATATGCAGAAGGAGGAGTTTAAGAAGTGACACTGCTTTGTTTATTCCTGAAAATAAAATAAATAAAATATTAACAACTGTTCTACTTCTGTCATTAACTGCTAAGTAGCATGCTAATGTTAGCATGCTAGCCAGCTGATAGCTCTCTTCTGCCCAGCTGGTTGTTTTTTTCCTCCAGATTAGCCCATGACAGGACAAGCTTTCCAACAGTTACCAAAACCACTCAGACTCACCATCCATCGCACCACAACCGGACAACCCTCTTCCTTTTCTCCGGGCTACGCGCGGAGGCAGCCGGCGTACTGCTGCCGGCTTCTTCGCTCTGATCCTTGGTACCGTGTTGTCCGTTTTTCATCATTTCTACCAGTTTACAAGGGATTCAATGTTTCAAGAACTGCTTTGACAGAAAAGAAAAAGAATCTAAAGTTTTATTTTTCTCTTTAGAATCTGAGCTGAAGGAATTAAAAACAAACAGTCTTCAACAGGTCGCAATCGGATCCTGGTGATCGGACTGAATGTCACTCAGCAGCGAGCAACGCCTTCGTCACACTGATCGGATGTTCTCAAGGTGACGCCCTGATTGCGCAATCCACCCAGAAGCGATTTAAAGAGACAGTAACAGCATTAATGCCATATGCGTTTGACTTCGTGCTAGTGATAAACTAACGCATTTGCACTAGGTGATGTAAATAACATGATCTAAAAGATCCTAAAACAGTTTAACTTTAACCTCTTTTTTTTTAAACCATACATATTTATTAAACAGAATTAAAGAGGCCCATTTTCATGGGCAGTTATAGACAAGGGCTGCATAATCTTTGCCCCTGTACCAAAGACAATACAAAATAAATGTATGGTGGATAAATTCAGCTCAGTTTATTTATATAGCACCAATTCACCACAATCATTATCTCAAGACACTTTATAGAGATAATGCATTGCATCTAGTCACCCATCATCTTGCAGGACAGGCTCCTCCTGGATGGGTTTGCAGTCACCATGTTTGCTTGCATTTTGTCTATGAATTTTCCGCAATTCCCCCTGAAGAGTGGTTTACGTTCAGCTTCTCTTGTTCTGAATCCCTAAAACTGAAAACACATTCAAGTGACAAAAATAAGCAAATAAATTATATGAGCTGGAACAGAAACCACTAATGGATCAATATTATTTTGTGGAGAATAAAAAAATTAAGTTGTTGCACTTTCAACTTCAGTTATACTATAGTAAAATCAATTTTCATTTGCCAGATCTTAAGTATCAAACAATGAGTATTATCCCTGAATGTTTTATTTATTTTTTTTTTCTGTGGCACCATTAAAAAACACTGGCCCCACCCTGGCCTACTGGTAAATTTGGTCTGGAATTACAACACATGCCATTTTTATTTTTTTATTATAGCAATCAGTCTTATAACAATCAGTCACTAAGTAGTATAGTGGAAACTGAAATAACATTTATGTAAAATTATGCTTCGAGGACAAAAATTGTGATAGGAAATTGTAGCACATATAATCTGCACTTTGATCTGTATGTCACAAATTTCTACAACCATCTATTGATGCCAACAAGCACATGTCCATCTATAATAGGCCAAGATAATATTTAGAAAAGAAAATTACAATAAACTCAAATAAGCATCAAGAGCCTTTAATATTGCGATTTTTGTAAAGCATTTAAATATCCTCCCCAGTGAGAGGGAAAAGAACAAAAACAAATGTAGTTAAACACTACACAGCAGAAATGAACCATTTGGACATTACATTTTAATACATACAGTTCAGGCTGGTACATATCCTAATGTTACAAACATTCCTGTGTGTAGATTTTTTACTTTTGAACAACAGGAAAAAAAAACATTTGAGCATCAAAATATCAAAATAAATAAAACATTTCAGATACAGTAGCACCTCTGGTGTTATTAAAGCAGGAGGAAATACAGTAAACATGTCTAATGATTTATTGTGTCTGATAAAAAAAATGCTTTACAAAATACAATGAAAAGTTTTTACATCACATCTTCCTGAGAAAAAATATTTAATTTAGCTGTTTAATGTCAAACTCAGATCTTTTCCTAAACCTCAGTAAACCAAAAAAGAAAAAAGTAAATCAACCATAGTAAACCTAATCAGTGAAAGTGATGGTAGGTTTGAATCACTGCCATGGAAGTAAACTAAAACACCACAAATAAACACCAGTTTTGTAAAAAATAAACTATAGCACAGCTTCCTATACAACTTAAAAAAAAATAAACAAATATATTTAAAATGTAGAAAATCAACCGCACAAAACTCACATTTTATGCTGATTTGCTTTTTCTGGAACATTCCATTGGGAAAAAAAAAATCTGACTTTTGCACATAATCATAGTTTTTATATATGAATACTAAGGTAATGCATACTTTGTATGGCAGTTCTAGAAGGAGAATAGCCTTCATCTAGCCAATCTCAATCAGCAGATAGCATTATTAAATCAAAAGCATGAAGGAAAAGCAAACATGTTGTAATGCATGCATTTGAAGGATACAGAGAGCAAAAAGTAAATCTTTTCCAAAATTATCCACTCAGACTAAATTAAGGTTCTGTGTATTGACGTAAAAAAAAGCTTTTTCTCTAGCCTCTTTTCAGTAATTTTAGGAGATTTCACCATTTACAAACTGTTTAAACTCTGTTTTATTAAATAATTTATCTGCCTTATAATCTTACAGCAGCTGAAGTAACTTAGAGAGTAGCAATGATTTAACCAGATCTGGTAGCTGCCATAAACAAGGTAGTATAAAAATAAATCTACTGCACAACAGGAGTTTTTCTAATGAATAAATGTTCAATAATATAACAGTGCAAAGAGCCTTCTGTTAATGCCCTCACTCATATGCATGATGCTCGTGTGTGTTTATCAATACCAGCAGCAACAGCTGCATCTCTTTCCTCATCAATAAGACAGGAATAATAATAATCACTGGTAGCACCTGACTGCTTCAGCTTCTCCATATATCCCTCAGTTATGAAGCTTTTTTTTTCTTGCTCTCCTGCCTTTGCTGTAGCCTCGACCGAACCAGCCGCCTTGCAGAGAAGTGGTTTCCTCCAAAGGTTGTTCATTCTTGGCTGTGGGGCCTGCCTGCTCATCAGGGGCCACCAAGACTTCACGCGTATGGCTTTGGATCTCCTCTGGGCCTAGAGGCGTAGCTAGATTGAAGATCGGGTCCTCTGCTCTGATGAGAAAATTTCACACAAGAAAAGCAGGGTGACAATCAGTGAAGCCATAATTTTTTTTTCTTTTTACCAAATTCTAACCTTTATATAGACATGCGTTTAAACTCATTCATGATCCTTTTCCATGTTAAAAATCTCAAAATGAATGAATTTCACTGGGATTGATGAATATAAACACATTTTAGAGCTTAAGGACAATGATAAGCAAAAAAAAAAAAAGCTATCTATATTGCACAGTGCATTTCTATTCAGTCCCTATTAAGTCTGGTTTCTCAAAATAAAATCTATCAACTGCCTTTCAATGGCATCCAATTTGTAAATGGTTCACCTGTGTGTACATTAATCCCAGTATAAATCCAGACACTGGTTATAGAACATTAGTAAAACATGAAAGCCAAGGATCAGAGCATAAAGGTCAAGGAAAAAGTTAATGTGTAAATGTATAGGTTATAAGACAATGTGCTTTGGATTAATCCTGGTTCTTATAGGAACCACCCTTTCTGGGGACCTAAAATGGTCAATGCACTTAGAAACTTCCTGCAGGGTTTCCACAGGAGGGGCTGATCATCTTCTGCACCAATGTGTTCATCCATCACTGTGTGGTTTGTCTCATTCACACAACAGGACCCGTCCAAAGTACAAACACTTAGTTAACAGAGAGAATAATCCAACCAACCTTCCCTCCATCTTGACCAAGTACGGCTATAGGGTTTAGAAAAAATCCAAGCTATTCAGACTTTTACCTCCAGGTCGGCACAAGCAAATTTACAAAACCATCCCAATCCAGCTTCCAGACATTTCCCCCCCACAGGCTAATCTGATAAGCACTCTGATCATTATCATGAAGTTTTGCACCAACCCGACCATTTCTTCCTTTTTGTATACATGCATAGGACATAGCACATATACACATCAACCAACACATTGTTATTGAACTGAACAGTATTATCCCAGAATAATCCCACAGCTCCGATGGATTAATCTGTTGACAGGACAACCAGTAGGCAAGAAGAAAGTCCCCATTAAAGAAAGCCAAATGAAATCCAGTCTGACTTGTTCCCTGTTTCCCCTATATAGGTTATGAAAAATTGCAAAGAGGGCGCTCTGGTCAAAGGAGACCTAGTTTGAACTTGAAATAATATCCTGAGCGCAGATAAAGCAGAAAACATCCTGAATGTCTTCATCTGGATTGGGGAAGCTGGTCAGAGTTGATGAGAAGAGGGATAGATCTTAATGCAGTGCAATATTTGAGAAAAAGAGAACATTAGCGGCTCCAAACAACACAAAACATCCAGCCAGAGCTACAATGGACCACAGCATATCTAGATGTTAAAATAGCCTGTTGATAGCTGAGACAAAAATATTTTTCTCTAAGGCTGCCAAACAAAACTGATGGAAATAGAACTGTTTTGCTAAAAGAAACCAGAAAAAGTTTTCAGCTTCTGGGAGTTCAAAGCTGACAAAAACGTCCCCTAAAGATCTGCAGCTGTGGTTAGCTTGATTCTTCCCTGCAGGGAAATTAGTTTGGAGTGTGATTTTAGCAGGGACTTCAATTAAAGACATAGAAACATGACATTAAGATGTTTCATTTATGGTTCCTTTTTACTAATTAATATTTTAATCACTTATGGTATAAAGGAAGTTCTATCCCATTTCTTAAAAATAGAGGAAGGTAGAACCATCTCCCCGAAGGAAGCAACTCAAATGAGTAGCTTAGAGGGTTTATATCATCTTCTATATTTAGTTTTGCCTTCGTCCTAACTATTTTTATTTGTTCCATGGTTGGCAGAGTGGGTGCTGAAAGTTTGCAGTTTTTGTCAAGAAAAGTTTTTCCTCTTCTCTACAGAACTGTTTTAATGTGGGACAGTGAAGCTGGTTCTAACTGGTTCTCACCAACTTCTTTAGATAACAAAAACCGATTTAAATATCCCTCCAACTTCATTAATCAAAAACTGACCCCATAAGTGTAATCCACATTAACAACCATTGAAATTAATGTTGGAATGAGAACCAGTTGAAGGGGTGTGAACGTTTGTTTACATTTACAAAGGGTTTAGTGTAAATGGTTAGTGGGCTTTACATCAGCACCATTCATTTCTGGACAGAACAACAATGTATTTCCTAAACAATCCATACCTGCTGTATTTAGGAATCTGAACGTTCAACTCCTCCATGAGCAGACTCATGACATTGTCACACTTGCCGTGAATTTTCAGTACAGCCAGATCATCCTTTGGTGTCCACTAAAGCAGAAACAGAAACCTAAGGTCTAACACAAATCAGCAAGACATGCATGTTAAGTACAAAACAGGCCTTTATCTGTACCTGGAGGTTCACAATGTAGAGTTTAGGCCGCTTGTTTGCAGGTCTATTCATGGACCATAAACAAGGGTATTTCTTTAGCACCTGTTTGATGAAGAGCAAAAAAGATCCATTTAGTAACATGTCAAAAATGTTTATGTAACACGGAAGCAGATTTGATCCTTTCTGGATAACAGAGATAATTCAGGACCAGCAAAGTGGGAATAGTATAAATACTGCAGCTGTATCACCTAATAAAAATCTGCTCACTAAGCTGTCCTATCTTATAGCCAGTACAAGTGTCACCTCAGAGCAGACCGTCATTCTATGAAGCCCACCTTCAGACTAGAGCCTAAGCAGAGTATAACATCGGCCTCTGTTGCAGCTTCTGCTGCTCCTTTCCAGTTCAGAGGCTGTTCCAGGGTTCCTCTCTCCCCAAAGTGCACGATCGTGTCTCTCAGCTCGCTGCCACATTGGCTGCATCTGCGGCCTGTGCCGTGGCGGTGCAGTGAAGTCCGCTCCGTCACGTCAAATAAACGTACAAACTCCCTGACAGGAGAACAGGCAGTGCACACCTGGAAATAGAGATGGTGGAGTCCACACTGAATATTTGGAAATAAAATCTGTATTAAAGTATCATATATCAACTTTCCATGAAAGGTTATTCAGGTTCGTAGATTCAAACAGACTGAATGTAGCCTATGGTTAATAAGAGTAAAGCTGGGTTTCCTAACTTTTCTATGCCACAGCCACCCATAGCGCATTAGCCTCTGAGTCGGGACTCCCTCTGCAAACTAATGGACAATGCTACATAATATGGAAAGAAAAATCAACCTTTAGGATGGTTTTCTTACTTTTATACATATTTTATACCTTATTTAGCATATGAATACTGAGATGTTTTCAGCATAATGAAAATAATAGAACAAAATAAAACAAACCTCACTGAAGTGTGTTTGTTTATTGGCAGCACTAGACTTAATGTCCGTTAGTATCAAACATGTCAGGATTAAAGGGCACAGGATGCCAACTGTCATCCAGTGAGGAAGACGATGCCACAGACCTGAGACAGGACCAGCATTAGCCCCGCCCACTGACCGACACTGAGCTTGCTCCTTTAAGAGCCTATTGAATATTTCAGATCAGACCAGGGATAAAGAGGCTGGTTGCTCAATAATCATAATTCAAAAGCTAGTTTAATTGCAACTATAAGTATTAATTATACATTTCCTAATTTAATGGCACATTTAATTGTTAAATGAGGTATTAAATAGATGCTACTGGGATATTTAGTGGTATATTATTATATGGTACTTTTTTTTTATTACATGGAACTTTTATATGTATTGCATTTCATAAAAAATGCAAACATTTATTTTGGGACATAAACTGAAGAAATAGTAAAAAACAAAAAACTATGTGACAGGAAAGTTTAAATAATTTTAGTTTTAAGAGAAAAAAAAAGAATTAAAGCATGGGTGGATAAGTGTAACCTCAATGAACATGTTCCCATGGAGCTCAGAAAGGGCTGAGCGAGGCAGACCGCTTCGCAGGTGAAGTCCATCACAGTTCTGAGAAACGACATGTTTCACCTGGGTGGAAAGAGGAAAACATTCAGAAGCTGCTGGAACAAAGTGAACAATTCTAACACATCATCGGTCGGCCTTTAAAATACCAGCTTCTCCTTATGTAGCTCCCTGATACACATGTGAGTTACAGTGGGCTCCGCTTTACTCAAGTCTGATGAACTGTCAGAGAAACAAAAAGAAAAAAACACATTAAACTCTCTAGATCTCTAAAAAGTGCCTTCAGTTTACATCAGCAGATAAAGCTCACCTTATGGCCTGGCCCTTCTGCAGCTGTGTCCACACACCGTTAGGACCTCTGTAGTCTGGGATAGAGGCTGCCTATAATCAAAGCCATTGTTACTTCTGTGAAACATTTAAAGAACATGGAAACAGATGGAGTCTGGCTTACTGTGCTGATTCCAGCTCCAGTGTAAACAACTAGGTGATTGGCTTGCTTTACTGCTGCAGCCAGCTGCTTGACTTTACCTTTCAACTCATTGGCATCATCGAATACCTGCAAACAGTGCATTAAGATAAATATGCTACAGACAGATTTATCTACACAAAGAAGACACTAAAGAGGGCATATATGCTCTTTGCGCAGTCACTAGGATCCACATGTTAGAATCTAAGCTGAGTGAAAGGCATTTGGAACTTTTACTAGAATGCTATTTTCCTTTAAGCAGCAATCTGTTGTTTAAATTCTGCAGTTTGATGTATTGTATGGTGCCTTACTTAGCCGCAATCAAGTATTTTAATGGCTTTAACTTTTACCTGATTATTGTAGAGGCCATTTAAGCCAGATATTTCTAACTTGCAGGAGAAATTTGAAAGAAAAAAAAGTTTTGTTTCTCCATTTGTTTGTTGGGAACCTATTATTCTAATTGTGCCTGGATCTAGTCCCTCACCTCCTCCTGCTTCCTCTTCAGCACATTTCTACGGATTTGCCTCCTGCAGAGCTCCTCCACGGCCTCTCTGTGAAGCAGCAGCGCCGCGGCCTCTTCCTCTGATCGTTCGGATTCGGGTTTCTTCAGAGCCCGTCCGACCTGTGGAGCAATTCAGAACAGCCTCGGCTTTACCGGCTGAACAAGACCGATTTAAAAACCCCGACTCCTACACCAGCCTCCCAATGCGACACGGCTCAAACTATTATTTTTTTTCCCCCTTACCAGCCGGAAAACCATTCTCTCTCTTTCGCGTTGCAATATTTTGGCTTTTTCCAACGCTTTCCTCTCCGCCCGAGAGGAATTCCCGGTCTCCGGGTCCTCTTCCATCCCGACTCCGGTTAGCTCAGCTGGCGACAAGCTAATCTATTCAAAACAAAGCGACCAAAAAGCAGAGGCGGACGTCGGCCAAATAAATCAACAGCACGAGGGAAGCAGCGCCCCCTGCTGCTGGGAGTGTGAAAATGTCCCTTGTTTCAGAAATCTCACAGCAAAAAGCGTAGTAAGAACCATATTTATTAACCACACATAAATAAATAACATACTTTAGAAAACAAGGATGTAAAATTGTAAAAGTTTACAAATATTGTTAAAAATCTGTAACAAATGGTACAAAATCTTAAGGCTACAGGTTGATATGTGAAGGTTCTGAGAGCAAAACTATGCTTAAACTATGAAAAATACAACACATCAAATGGTCAAAATGTGTCAATTATAATTTAAAATTAAATTTGTAATTCTAAAAATATGAAATGATTTCATGGTCCTATACTACAGTATAGAACCAAATGACAAAATCAATCATCTTTATCCAAAAAAGGCAGCGGGGGTGGAAAAACAATCTACATGCTGAAAAACCATACAGATAAAGTCTGTTTACTAAGATAGCGGGATATATTTTTAAACAATTGCACTGAAGCAACGGAACCATGAAGAAAAGGTGAAAAACACATTTACATCAACTTTAATATCAATATATCACTTTTACATGTAAAATATGTTATAAAAAATATATACTATACATTTACTGTCCCATTTATCTTATTGTAATATTTCTAATATGACAACTGGCACACCCTCCACATATTACCTGACTTTGATTGATGGCATATGACAACCTTTCTTTGTTTAGGACCAGTGCACTCAATAACTCTAAAATAGTAAAACTCAATTTTAGCAAAATGAGGTCCCTGAAGATGAGTGGATTCAGTTGAGATAAGAAAAAAATTCCCAATAAGTGTCCAATCGAGCCATAAATTAGGAGGCAAACTGTAAAAGTAGTAGATCTTCTTAACAGGTTGCATTTATTATTTTTGAACAGATGAAATGAAAAAGAATTTTACTGGAACAGCATCTCTATATCTGTGCCTCCAGGGGGACGGTCAGCAACGACATCCATTTAGAGTTCTCATCTAAAGTGTTTGTTGTATACCATTCATTCAGTTGGCTATGGGCATCGTTAGAGGAGCTCTCACTGGGGCCAATTAGGAAAGTGTCATCGAGGTCTAGATGAGTAAACGCTTTTGGGAACTCTCTGTTGATTTGCTTTAAACTGTCCTTGTTTTGTGTCCAGTGGTTTTTTTTGGTGGTGGATCCAGACTTTTGGCCGGTCTGCACCGCCCTCCTGTGACATTCTGCAGCCTTATCCTGAATCCTCGTAAGAGAAAAGACGATTTTATGAGCTGAACATGTTTATCACTGAAGCCACAGACACACTGAAGTCCTTAGAACACAAAGATTCTACATGCGGTGCCAGAATTTTTCCATCCGTTTCAAATATTCATCTTTCAATTTGACTACATTTATTCAGTGGGAGAAAAGAGCCCATTTTATAAAGTCAGTGCAAAATCAGTGGTAGCACAAATATTTAAATTTTTTGTCTATACTAGTTCTATTATGGCAGAACTTTGTCTTCTCTAGTTACATTTTACAAGAGTAAAACTACAAAACAACAAGTCTTTACACAACTCTACGTTGATTTAGGTACGTTTTGGATCATTTTTTGCAATAAGACACGATTGCAACCTGGTTTCTGGTAGAGTACACCAGCTTTGTGATTCAATGTCCTAATTTTAAGGTTTCCTTGGGCAATGGACTTTTATCAAGGTTCATGAGATAGCGGAAAAGAAACAGGCCTACAAAATCATAGATCATTCACTTCATCTGTTTAATAGCTTATCCTGTCAAATCAATCTAGTTTTTTTTAATGATGATGATGGGAGGACAAAATAAGAGTTTTCTGGCACATCCACACAGCATATTGACATGTAGATGGCATCTAAAGGTTGCAATGGAAACTTTTTGTCAGAAAAAAACGTGTATGCAACCAGATTAAACTACATTTAAAAAAAAAATCACATAACAAGACTAGGCCCTTTTACATTTAAGTTTATATCCACTGAAAAAAAAAATGTAATTAAATCTTAGAAAGAAATCCATTCTGATTATACGCCTGCAAGAAACGACAGGTGTATTTTGAGGCTTTCTTTTTTCACACGTCTATAAAATACATCTTAGACTGATGGCACTGATGGAGTGAAAACTCACATCCTTTCTCTCTTCCTCTCCAGGGATTTCTGTGTGGCCGCTGACAGAGAGCACTTTCCTCGGGGATAACCTGCAGGTCCTTTCTAAAAGTGAACAAACACATACAGATACAGGCATTAACAGATAAAGGATCGTTCAGGACATAACCAATTCATTCTAATCCTGGAGGTGTTTAGTGGGGAGATAAACCATGTTTGGTCAAACAAAGTACTTCATTAAGCTTTTGTTACCTTGTTCAACAGGTCTGACACACTTCTGCTGCCTCCCTTTACTTATGACCCTTCCACATCTTTGCAGAAAAGATGCTGTAAGTACGTTAGCGATGCTTAAATGTTCTGTTAGGGTTTCTTTACAACCACCTCTATCTGTAGGGCTTCCAATTTGTTTAAAGAACCATCTGTTATTTCCATGATTTTCCATGAAATTCAATGCTTGTGCAGACTTTTAAAAATAATGTAGGATGTTAAAACATCAGATCTGTACCTCTAATGTGAATAATGCCAGCGTTCAGCTCCTTGGCTAAAGTACGTTCAAAATCTAAGGAATCAGCTTTATTGTCCAAGAGTATGATCACAAACAAGTTGTTTAGAAATGCTCAACACAAACAGACATTCAATTTAAAAATATATACTACAAAGAAAAGCTAAGTGGAGATCTGAAATTGACCACATAATCCTGCATAATACATGTATCTCTAAGCAGAACACAAAATATTTAATCTGCTGTTTAAATGTAAGTCATCCAATTAATCGATTATTAAAATAATTGTCAACTGATTTAGTAATTGATTAATCATTAATTGGAATATAGAGAATCTGCCATTATCAGACAGAGCAACTCTGTCAAAACAGTGGTTATACTAAATTATACAAATTTTCTATTCAAGATGGAAAACCTTTTGTCCATCAAATGCTCTATCCAGAACTCCTCAATGGACAGTTTTCACTTCAGCTGGTTTAAATTCTGTAGATTCTTCTTTAAGGAACATTTTTGAAATCTGATTATTAAACCATTAATATAAAAAGTAATCAACATATTAATCAATTTGTAAAATAATTGATAGTTGCAGCCCTAGTTGGTTTTATTAAAAAATCAAATCAATAAAAATCAAGTCCTGGTATAAAACAACACGGATTTAAACTCTGTGACCTTTTTTCTTTTGGTAAACTAACAGAATATCCAAGCCATAATACACTTTCATTCCATGCTAGTTTTATTATTGACCCAGATGGTGCAGAGTCACCTGTTGTGCAGCTGCACCTCATTCTCCCACCCCAGGATTTACTGCACACTGAGAAGTCCGTCTGTGGGGAGATTACCTGCCGTCTGAGCTGCTTCTCCCTGGCCAGCTCTCTGTCCCAGCTGATCAGCTGCATCTGCTCTCTGGCTGACAGACTGAAGAATATGTCGTAAACCTCGTAACGGGCGGCCCGCAGCTGGAGGGCAGAGACAATTAAAAGGCAGACGATGGTTTTAATGATCACCCCATAATGGTGCTAGTTAACAGATGTCTTTACGGCATGCGTTTGTGTTCACACCTGCAGAGAGACTCTCTCCTGCAGTAATAATTCTTGCCTACTACAGTGCTCTCCTCTGGCAGTGACCTGCTGCTGGAGGGTCTGCAGGAACTGCTGCATGTCCTACAAACACACAGAGACAAAGATATATACATATATATATATATACACATAAAAATACACACACACACACACATATATAATGACAATCAAAAATATTCACACAGCCGGACCTTTCTCTATTGTGTTTCTTCTTAGAACCAAAACCTCTGATGTGTTTCCTTTTGGTTTTAAAGCGATAAGGTCAAAACAGGATAGTTGATGATAGTTAATCAGTAGAACAATAACAACATTTTCACAGTGAATATGAAACTGCAAATGAAAGTCTTTGCAAATACCTTTAGAATCTGCCTACTTTACCAAACAGCACCATGAAGACCAGGGATTCGAGCATGCAGGCCAAAATGGAAGACGTGGAGAAGTTTACAGAGAGATTAGGTCATAAAATTACACCCCCCAGAGCTCTGTTCAGTCCATCATTTTGAAAGAATAGCACAGATTAGGGTATCAACACCTAAACCCACATAAACTAAAAGGCAGAGCAAAGAGAGCAATAGTCAGAGAAGCAGTAACTCGGCCAATGGCAGCTGGAGGAGCTGCAGAGATTCAAAACTCAGGTCTGGGAAACTGTTGAAAAGATTTCTACTCTGTTCATTATGGGAGAGAGCAGAAAGTACCCGCTGAAGGAAAACCAGAAGAATTTTCATTATTATTAGGTTAATAATAATCATGCGGAGTAATGTCACATGTTTTAAGGATTATTCTTTACTCTTCCAGATATGGTTGTGAGTTTATGTTTACCCTGTATGATCTGAACTTGTGTTTTTTTTAATGTTTTTTTTGTTGAGTTTTTACAGCACTAGTTGCTTGTTTTTATGGACAGTAGGCTGACAGGAAAGGGGGTATGACAGAGGGGGAGAGACCTGCGGGAAAGGACCACAGGCCGGATTCAAACCCGGGTCGCCCACGGCGAGGACTAAGGCCTCCATACATGGGTCTTGTGTGCTAACCACTGCGCCACCAAAGCATGCCCCTTTAAAATGTTATGTTATTACTTTGTTGTTGTTGACAAAATATATATCTCCAATCTTTTCTATAAAAATCTATGCAATAACTCTTGGTCATTATTAATAATCAACTATTTAATCCGTCTGTTAATAATTTGACTTTTCAAATCATTTTACGACTTGCGTCTTTAGTGGTTAAATGTCTGTATCTCTGTTTTCAACATCTATAAAGTCTTTTGATTTAATCATGACTGGATCAAAATGAATCTAATAATAATGCTTGCTAGATTGATTGATTGAAAAACAAGAAGGTGCCCTGGTCAAATGATACCAAACTTAACAGTTCCACCTAAAAATGTAAAACTCTCTAAAAAAGATGCACTAAAGTTTCTGTATGTGCACTGATAAAATGTGAAAACAATAAGGATGCGATTACTCCTCACACTTTTGACGAGAAATATACTTTTGAATATGTTGTAATTCCTAATATGTTATTGACAAACAAAGATGATGCAGATGACAGATGTTGCTGTATCACCCACCCTGACAGTTCGGACCAGCTGCATCACCCTCTCTGTCCTCAGCAGCCTCCGAGTTAGAAAACCCTTCACGGTTGCAGCCAGCAGGGGGCGGCAGCGCTGCAAGAGCGGGCTTGGATGCTGATGAAGGGAGAGAGAGAAAAGGGGGCAGATAATGATGAGCAGAGGGGAAGACAGAGGAGAATGCTAATTCCATCAATGACAACCAATTAATTTCCTCCTCAGCATCTCAAGGTCCTTTTGTTGGCATCTGTTCGGAGCGTCGGAGCAAGTAGACTCCTGGCTCATCATTAGAACGGAGAATAATAAACACAATAATGTAGGCAGCGGATGTGCTGTCACTCACTTGTTGATTCAAGAGCCGCGGCTTTGAGGGGTCATGTTTGTTAAACAAATGAAGTCTAACTGGAGCTCTGGCTGCTGAATATATCAGCACAACAGCACCTGATTGATGCTGATTAGGTTCAAAATATATAGATGCTGATCAGAAGAGATAAAAGGTGGAGCAGGATGAGATACCGCCTATGTTAATACCTGAGACAGGTTGTAGAAGGTCATTGTGTCCCCAAACCGAGAGCCTGATGTGGAGCAGGGAGACGCGTCCTGCAGGAGACGGTAAGATGCTGCCAACACCTGAGACGGACAGACGGAGAGAACAAATATGAGGATGGTGGTGTGTGTGCAGGCACAGGTGTGTATGTCTGCCAGAAGACAAGAGTGGAAAATATTGAATTGGAAAGGACAGCAAATGAGGCAGGAGGAAAAAATTAATTGAGGGTAGAGAATAAGACAGAAGGGGAGCGGCGGGGCTCAGAGGGAAGAAGGATGAGACGCGGACGGAGGAGACCAGAGCCATCCAAGAAATTAATACAAACAGACAGTAAGAACAATGTTGGAGGTGGTGTAGTATAAAAACAAAGACAGGGAGAGAATAAAAAGGAGAAGCAATCATTAGTGGTGGTACTCAGTGGGACGATCTGGCACTTCACCACAGACGCTCATGAATTAAACAAATTATCGTCTTCTTTTCTGTGTCAATTCCCTGGATCCCCCTCCACCCTCTGCCGGAGAGTCCAGCCAGCTCACTCTCATCGCATCGCGGGCGACGGAGGGGAGCCAGAGAGAAGTCTCCTTATCAAGCAGCTTATGTTAATTATATTGTTGTTAAGGATACATAAATTAAACAGAGCCCATAATTAACAGGGCGAGGATGCCGGCCAAGTACAAATATACAGACACGGCCTACAGAACCGGGAACAGGCTGCCAGAGAACGGCGAGCGTCCTTGAAGCCTTGCATGGTCACACACACACACATTATGACCTGCTATTCTTACGAGGACTTTACGTCGACTTCTATTTAATTCTACAGCCTAACCTTCACCCTAATCCTAAACTCAATCCTTAGTCCAAAGCCTAACCCCCTACCGAAGAAGAGGACATCTGTGAGTCCCATAAAATAGAATTCCTTATTTGCCTTACTGTCCTCACAAGGTGCAAAATACATCACCACATACATACCTCCCCCCCATACACACACAAACACACCGACAGGCAAACCTGTCTTTTAAGGATGTAATGAAACATTTATGATAGAATCCCCCTTTTCTCCAGACTGGGGGAGAGTCTGAAGGTCTCCTGTAATGAGCAGACGTCTGCAGTCTGGCCACGACCCAGGAGCTCACTAACAGGGAGGTTGATAACTTGTGTGTAAATGTTTGTGTGCTCCGAGTTTCAGGAGAAATATTAGCAGCAAGCGTTATTATTCTTCAGAAAAAAAGTCAGAAATGTATAAAAGGCTTTGTTTCTTTCCAGAAGACAAAGTGATGATGAGCCAGGCGTTGATTTATAATTCCTGAGAGGTGACTTTGGGTTAGGCGAGAACCCTGGGCAGGGTGAATTATTGGTGCGGTTCTGGCATTACGCTGCACAGAATCTGTACAGCAATAGGTGATGCAACCCAATGCAAGAGGAAAACCAATAGGAGTAAGCTGTGCTGCTGCTACAACACCGGACCTCAGATAAATGTTTTACTGTTGCAGAAACATTCGTTCACAGCCTCGGAAGAGAAGAGTTTCAAAAAAACCCAACAAGATTGTAAACTTTTCAACCTAATCATGTATCCATCTATTTACCCATCCTTTCATTGTAAGGTATACATAGAAGAGGGAAGGCAATATGAATTTAAACTAACTCTTCTCACTAGTCACTAAGGATGTCCCGATGTAACTATTTTAATTCTGATACAATGCTAATATTTCAGGTTACAGTATCAGCACAAATCATACATACTTTTATTACTCAAAAATCAACTTTTCAAATATTAACTTTACCTGTATTCGTTAATTACATGTTCAGTAAGCTTTGCTCAATGAGAATCTGGTGGGCATTACCATTAAACTGAAAGTGGGTCTTCAAACTCATCCTTTTCATTCTTCATATCCAGTTACATATAACAGAAGAGCAGCCTGGTTTCAATAGGAACATAAAACTCTACTTATTCTCTAATAAAATAGTTTTTATTGCAATCAGCAGCTGGATTAAAGGCAAATAGAGCTTTGAAACTCTTTGCAGGCTTAAAAAGGTTCTGTTCTAACAAAAGATTTGTGTGATTCTCTACCTCAAAATGAATTTGGTTTTACATTTCTTCGCCTCCTGTACGACAGGGGTTGAACTGTGAGAAGTGAATCCACTCTGTGTCTTCTCTAACTAATGGCCTCCTGTTTATGACCTGTTTGACAGTATAGGTTTCCCATTGGACTGTTTAAAATCTTCCTCGCCTCTGCTTGTCCTCTCATGAATCATGCTCATAAAAGGGCTGCAATATTAAAGCAATCAAAACTTGAAAATTTGACTTCTTAGGGCACATGATTTGATCCCTATGGTAGCTCATAAAGAAATGAAAAAAGCTGATTTAAATGTAACTTCTTTCCACATGGAAAGTCTGCACATCCCACATTATTTATATGGTTGGTTTTTTTGTTGTTGTTGTCTTTAAAGGAAAAAGAGGTGAATGACCTGCTTTGTTTTTACTCATAAAACATTGCAGGATTCTCACACAACTTACATGACTTGACGTTGAAAGCGCATATTTTATTTTAGGTCCTACAAATGAAAGAAGAATTTTTAAATACAGGATTAGACACCAGAAAGGCCAGACCCTTTTTTTTGTTTTTTTTTTCAGTTGTTCAGGCAAAAACCTGTAATCTTACTAAGGATGAGCTGATTAAAAACAAATCCTGGCCGATAACGATATCTGATTTTAATATAGCGGGTGTGGCAAACAACTGATACTTATAGATTATATAATATCTTTCCAGTTGGACTCCATTAAAAACCAAACAAAGTGGTGTCATTGCTGCTCTGCTTCAATTAAACCGTCACAATCTTGAGCCACACCACAATCATTGTCACATGACCAAACAGATACCATTCCACTCTCCTCCCACTCCTGCAACAAAAACAAGGACTACATGGAAATAAACAGTGGTTGTTCACACTGAAATTCTTAAAAATGACAGAAACCTGCAACTATTAATCTTTAAATCATACCCACAATAATTCAATCAATGTCTCACCTGTAGAAGTTCTTCCTGCTGCTTCCTGTGCTCCTCTTGCAGGGCTCTGACTTGAGCAGCATGGATCCGTTTCAGCTGTTCTTGCTTACATATCAGTTGCTGCTTCTTCTGAATGCCTTCAGACCGTTGCACCGCAGCTGAACATAAGCACAAACAGGTAAGGAGAAAAAAGAAAAAATTATCCGATGCAACTGGGGACTAACTGGCAATAATCAGTGAAGGCACTAAATAAAATGATCTCACCAACAAGAACCACAAGAGTGTTGTTGTCACTGAGACGGAGCGAAGACAAACCAATTAGCTAAATGAAAACCCCAGCACAACTGTGAGCAGCTCTTTGAAAGGGAACTGCATTTTCAATGAACTGTCTAACACACCTGCTGTTCATTCAGGCTGCATAGAAGCAATAAAGAGTCAAACCTTCAGTGGATAACGGGAAGGCTGAACAGATCAGGGCTTAAACTTAACCAGATGAAAGTGCGCATTCAGCGTCTGCTATTGATAATGCAAGCGTAGAAG